TAAGATGTAAAGCTAACAATATGTATAAACAACTTGTTTGGAAACTACTTTTCATATCTAACTATTAGTTATTACTTAAATTCATGTCTTAAATCACATGAAATACAATGTTTAAAAGTTAGACATACGAATAATTGATGGACTGATTAAATAATACTGGATGGCACATAAACTCATTCACAATATGTGGATTAAACAGTTTATTTAGTCTATGTAGTATGATATCATCTTTTACTAACTAAGTTATAACATTTGATAAACTGTTAAACGTTTGTTTAAGTAAAACATAATGTAGATAACTTTTCATTATATGATCCATGTACGACTTTGATCTACTGAAATAGTTTCCCATTCACCGTCTTATAGCATATCAATTTTATTACAAATTTATGACTTTTGTAAAATTAGAATATAGCATCATGGGAGTTGAATGGGACTTTTCCAAATGAAGTTACAAGGTAAATGGATATAAAATTAAAATTAAGTCAACAACAAAGGTTGGTTATTCAACACTTTAAATAGTTAAACTATTTTTCAAAAATATATTGTTCTTCGCTTAAATTTACTAATTAAATCAACGAATGGTTTGACATTAGACTGTAACGAACGAAAACACAGATGGAGGCGACTAAACGTACTTGAGCACAGAATCAAAGAGTTATTTGGCAAAATGTGAATATCATACATTAAATACTTCATTTGCAAAATATGCATCAATTGTCTCAGACTTTGTTTTTCCTTCATTTCCTTACCAATCACTCTATGTTCCTATTCTCTTCTATTCGATCTTTTCAACCTTTTGCTGCCAGGCACTCCAATTTCGATTAGTGATGCATACTACTTATATCTGTCGACATAAGTAGCACACACCACAATACCACCGAGATAAAGCGTTTATATTAAAAGTTTCTAACAAAATATTGCTACCCTTTGGATAATACGCTAATCAAAGTACAACATACTAAGAAAGAATTCCACAATTTGTTATCTTATTTATGTCTAACCACAATTCTAGACGTGATTACAACAAGGTGTAAAGATGCATATACATCTAATGAAAGAAGCATCATCCAGTTTTATTACACATCTAGTCCCATGAACAAAATTACTCTAAAACTGAACATAAATGTTTCGAACTTATCAGTGTCACATCCATTCAAACTCAAATGCTTATTCGACTTGGTTGTGAACCCTAAATCTAACAACATAGATCATTTAATATTGTTGCCAGCTAAAACATTGTTGCATCATAAGTAAAATAAACAATAGTGTTTGCCTAATTTTTGTTTAATCACTGACAATTCATGCTATTATGATAAGTTACACATAATAAGAGATTATGTAAAAAGTTATCTACATCAGTATTAAATATACTTCTAGAATGAAAAGACGTTACTGGAGATAGCGAAAACTCACCTGTAAATATAATGACCATTCTCCTTAGTTATAAATCTAAGACTTACAACAAATGGATTTACAGGTCGTTATTTCACTTAACCTGCTTGATTACACTACTTGGTAAGTAACTAAGATTCGGCTAGATTCAGTGATCTTGAGAAGAGACTTACAAGAAATTTGCAAAAATGATACATCCAAACTCTTATCCTCTTTTGGCCCTAATTCCTTTCTGTGGTATGTTTTGGTCTCAGTTTTCTTAAATTATTGTTTTGTAATTTTGAACCGTAATCAGTTACTATTATCCTTTGACAATCTTTCGTGACCATTTTTCAGTTGTTATCATGACGTTTAGGCTTTTCATTTTTTCTCTTCATATTGGTCAAACGGACAATTATCTCTTATAACTCTGACCCGTAACTTATTCTGGTGCTCTTATTCTCTTCAAACCCCTTGATTTTTACGCAACCTAATTCGATAGTTGGAGTCTTGAATCACTTTGTGATGCAATCTCTTCTATCTTTTTATAGACTTATATATTTACCCATGAATAAGAATGTACAATGTAAATGGAAATTCACATTTTCACATTTGCTGAATAATAATAATGGTAAATGATGCTACGTAGGAAACCAAACCTTCACATCAAAACGAAGTTTGTACAACCACTCTCAATATCTTGGTCGTCGGTATAGGAGTGAGTTGGTAACAGAACTTTAATAAACTATTTTCGTGTTCCTCCCATTTCTTGTATTTTATTTATTCTCAACATTCGTCCCTTCATTCTTGTATAACTACTAGATTAAATAAATGATTCCGTTGAAAAGAAAATTTTCTTCATTCAATTCTCTTTATTTGCATTCAACGACACAATGGATGACTTAATTTTCATTTAGAAAGTCAACTAATACTTGGTTCACATGAAATAAGTGTCCGTATCAGTGGAGTGATTAGACTAAACTGAAATAAGATATTTTTCTGTCTCCAGGTGAAACAACAACCAGTGAAAATTGTTAGTGTTTGTTCATTATATTAAATGAGAGTTGTTTCACTTTTGAATGTTTGCTCATATCCCTGTGATACATTTATGTAAGTAGATAAATAAATATTCATACATTTTGTAATGCTTTGAACTGGTTGACTAGATATTGTTAATAAAAGACAAAGTTTGTCCATATGTATACTAAAACTAATTAATAAGAATTATTATAAAAAGTTTATAGAATAAGTACAAAACGTGAAGGTACTAGACACTCACCATTTAGCAATTGCCGAAACAAAATTTTCAGCGTTTCTATATATATTATTATTGGGCCTTTGTAACTGTTTAATCAATACTATGTCTTCATATATTTTATTTTTTAGAGGATGAACTATATACTCTTTTAGACAAAGACCTACTTTATCATTCAATGAAATTCATTTGGTTTAAGTTATTCTTTTTTCTAAAGTAGTTAGCAATCATGTTAGATCTATGTAGACATTTGTGTATTGCCTCCTTTAGTATTTATTTCCGAGAAAAAGAAATAAATATTTCATTTATGATCATACTGTGGTGCGTGCTACTTATATTGATATAAGTAGTATATGACGCGAGTCAGGAATGTAATGTCTAGCAGCAGAAAATGGGGAAGATCAAGAAAGGAAGAGCGGGAATAGACAGTAATTAGGATGGAAATGCAAGAACAACAAAGTTCGAGACAATTATTGAACATTTTGCAAATTAAGTATTACAGTATGGGTTTTTTTTATTTTACCAAGTATGAATCAGGTTGTCCTCACCTGGGTTCTCCTTCACTACAATGCTTGTATATCATTGAGAGATTCTTTAGCGGAATGTCTTTAACGGTAAAACATAACTCTAACAAGTGGTGGGTATATTCACAAATTTCAACTTAATTCTTCACTATGTTGCTAATTCACAGTTGCATCGTTTTTCTTTTTTAATTATTTTCTTAGAAACTTTTCATTTACTCTTATGTAATGTATTTACTTATTTCGCATATATATGCTTGCGGATTTTTATATGTTTCGTGATATGAGAGATTTTTTCAAATATTGTGTTCTGAGGATTCTATATTGAAATAACTATATAACATATTATTATTATTATTATTATTATTGCCATCACCTGGACGTCAATAAACTAGATAACCAACTTCCGACTCAATTTCATTAACCTTTGAATAGAATCTAAAAACATTTTCATGAAACTTTTCTATTAAACTTTTGATTGTCAGCTGATCAATTTTCCGTAACTGATTATAAATTTATATTCATTACATAGTTAAGAAGGTTAATAACAGTTCTTTAAATAATTGAAATATGTAAGAGACAAAAAATCCCAAAGCTTCTGAATCATGTACAAAACTGAATTAGAAATTACATTGTTCTTATTTTCAATCCTTTTTTGTTCAATGATTATAGATATATATTTGTAATCTATGTAAGAAATATTTTATTCAGAAACGAAGAATATTTGAGCGAACAATTGTTTTCAATAACTTCCTCATCAGGCTCTACGGTTATAAGTCCATAATTATGATATTTTACAAAGGCTTATAACAAAGGACTTATAACTGTAGAGCCTGATGATGAAGTTATTGAAAACAATTGTTCGCTCAAATATTCTTCGTTTTTGAATATTCTATGGGGATTTTTAAACTGCTGAAATATTTTATTAGTAAGTCCAGTATACAGTTACAATGTCATTAACACATAAGAAACTAACAAATGGGAGTAAGCAAACTTCTGCATGTAAAAACATAATGTAGTTATGAAATTTATCCATAACATAATAGGATTTTATGACAAATTCACACTTATACGGATCAGAAAGTTATAATATGTCTGCTGTTCGAAGTTCTAACAGACTATTATTAAGGAATATTTTATTTTCGACATTACTTACTTACGCCTGTTGCTCCACGTGGAGGAGCAAAGGCTACCCACCAGCATTCTCCATTCAATCCTATACTGGGTAATCCTTTCCAGTTGCTATTCATCCTTCTCATGTCTGAATGAACTTCTCGATGTAGTGTATTCTTCGATCTTTTTCTTTTCCGTTTCCCTAAAGGATTCCAGGTAAGCGCTTGCCTCGTGATGCTGTTTGGTGATTTTATCAATGTATACTCTATCCACCAACTCAATCGTCTTTTCCTAATTTCCTCTTCACCTGGAAGCTGGTTTGATCTCTCCCATATTAGGCTTTTGTTGATGGTATCCGGCTAATGGACATTGACTTCCGAAGAATCTCGACCTTCACCTTGTGGAGGACAAAGTTTAAATTGTTTATTTTGTTTATTCTGTTTGGCATTCCTTTTAGCAAGATGTTTTTCTTCTGTATGAGGTTGCTGACCCCATGCCCGACCCTGCTTTTTTACCCAGGCTTGGGACCAGCACTAACCCTAGAAGATCGACAGGCGTTCATTACGTGAAATAAAATACAGAAATCACATTCAAAATTCTCTACATATTTATTTCATTTTTTTAATAAACTCTGCTGACAACTTTATAAGAATTCAGTTTATTTAACCTTACGCATTTGAAAGAATTTTCGAAATATTTTTCACTTAATTGTATGTTTGTTATAATTAACTTTATAGGTGTAGGATTTTTGCTGGATCCGCAGCTATGGAATAGTTTCTATCCGATCACGCTACTAAACTATTCTTTGGTACACAAGTCAAAGTACAAAAGCGATTCGTGGACAGAGTACAAGAGTGACAATTGTCTCAGAGAGTTTCTTTACAAGACAATGTGAGTTTCAATAATTTTTTTTATTTTTCTAATTTTAAACTGTAGCAATATTTTAGAATCGTTGATCTTCTGATTTTAACATTTATCACTATTTAAACTGAATTGTAATTGACATGAATCAAAATATGAAACCGCAATTGTCATAGTGAATACTCGTTTACATTATTTTAAGTCTTTATAATTTCAGAAATTATAACATACTGTCAGTCTTTTGAAGTACAACAGCTTAGTTACTTTCGCTCATACGTTTCTAATTCACATCAATATCAAGATATTCATACGAATTATTGATATTCCTGTATGAGAGTTTTTAATTCATTCATTTTGTTATATAAGGGAATTTATAGCTTCAGTTATTCCATCTTCATCAACGTTCACATTACTTTTGACCATAACATCTGTAAAGTATAGGATAAAACTACAAATTTTCTGTTTGAACATCTAATTCAAAGGTCAAATATGCTTTTAAATGACCGTTATCAACACTATGAATGACGGCAATGATGAAGTATAACTCCTCATTTAACTTCATACTTTACACTTAGGCTGACCACATCGTACAATTATTATAGTAAACAACCTAGATACGAAACATCCTGGAAGGATTTATGTGAGTGAATAATTGAATCTTGGAGATCGGCTTTTATACCAACTCCATGAAATAAGTTTATTTCTAAGCTTATATATGTGAAAATAAACAATATATATATATATATATATATATATATATATATATATATATATATCCGGATGATTAGAAAATCTCTCGACTCACTGTAAGCCACTTGTTCAGGGAATAAATCGTTCAAACAAAGTTCGTTTGTTTTAGCTGAAATAGTCCAGCCCTTTACTGTCAGTCAATTTATTGTCAAATCTTACATATCTTAAGCATGGCAACTACTTACTTAAGTGATAACGGACACTTTAAGCTGGGGATATATGATTTTCATTGACTCAAATTAGTTCTAATAACATTTTGTGGATCCGAATTTAGTAGAATCATTATTTATGGTTAGATTAGTTTTATGAGTTCACCACTGTTTTGTAGAACCATAAGTTATTTATGTTTGCGAACATACTTCTACCCGAAGTTTGTACTGACGATTTCATTCAGAATAACGATGAAAGCTTCACGACCAAACCATCCAGTTCAGAGAACAAAACTCCATTAAAATGTAACCTTGACTGTTTTTGTATGAATGTATATGTATCCATTGCTAACCCCATTTATCACATGTCTTTAGCTTATCTTTATCTGGCTATAGACAATGAGTTACGCATGATCAAATCCAGTTGACATGTTTGCCTTCTCTGATCTGTTTTTCCGCTTCGTTTATTTGATTTTCTGTCTGGATCAACGGGTGCATGAAATATACGTATCTAAAATTCATTCTCGTATTTATCCCGTTATTCTCTAACGCGAATTAAGTCAGTAGATATGCATGAGGGTAGGCAGCATCTGAATTTCGTTAATATCATCATACGATCAAACCGGTAAATGGGCAACAAAAAGAACATCAAGTGATAAAGTGCAACTTTTTTGGTCAATTTATCATGCAATCGTAATTCAAACCTATCGCCTTGACCACAATCAGTAATAAGTGTAGAATAAAATATGTGGATTCATTTTATTTGCTATCTACACCTTATTTCCAGTCAGGAATACTTATACTATAATTATATGTATTATTTTAGTAGTTATATACACCCCCATACCAGGATTAGTTTAACAGGAATATCATATTTCTAGTAAACTTGTCTAAAATATAACTTTACTTTGGGTTCGAATATGCCAGATGTGAGACAGTTATCCACAGCAGGCCTTGAAAGGTGGTCGCACAATATCGCGAATTGATTGGAGTTAGAGATGTATATCACTAGATACTGGATCAGTGGTCAAGAGGTTAGAGGCTTGGATATGAGATCGATGGTTCTGATTTCGGCTTATGGTGCGACCGTAGATATACACTTTTGACGAAATAGTTGTTCAGTACTTCCATATTTTTGACGAACATTTGATTATGATCAGTTTGCAGAATAAACTATTGAAATAGATAATTCAAAACTTTATATGTTCGTCTGCTCTTTTAAACTGAAATAGTTTCTCATTAATATTACCACTAGTTTAAATCATATGACAGAAAATAATGTATTTGCACAGAAAGAAAAATTAAATATAAACCGAAAACGCCATTTAACAAACTCATCAAACAGATGATTTACCACGTAAATTTGCTAGTAAAGGCAAAGTTTCAGCTCAACTAGTAAACATTCTACAAGCTATCTATCATGATAATCAAAAACCAGAAAAATTCAACTGAATCTCACATATCATTATCAACTGTGTGAATGCAAATGTCTATACATTATTCAGTTGTTATCGGTCATGTAGTTTACCATCATAAATCACCATATTCAAACTTTTGCTAATTTCTTTGTACAATTTTTTTAGTGATGATTTCTGTAAAATTTCAAAACAATGCTGGAAGTCAGCTACTGATTACAGTGAAACTGAATATGGTCTTACGCACCAGGTATTTTATTTTATGATTGGAAAACAGGTGAGAATATGTTCATACATGTATGTAGACTATTGTTAGTATCAAGAATATCTAATTAATCTCAATAAACATTGGGAAACGTTTCGGATACAGTGATTATTTTCATATATAATATATTTATAGAAAGCCATGATATCCTGAATCAAACATTTAAGCTTTGACCTTTCGGTTTAAAATAGAGAAGGAACAATGAAACTTGGGTTTGTTAAAGAACATAGTAATTCTGACCACATTCAACGAAATTTAACAATTGCTAACATGTTATAGGTAGATTTGTGTGAGTTTGATTGATTGATGTGGATTTTTCAACTTCAGAGAAAATAACATTAGCTGCAAAACTATTGAAATTTGAATAAAGGTTTACATAGATCGTGTTATAGTTTAATTCACATCATTGATTCTTGCTGAAAACTTCACAAACGGTTGAAATCATGATTATTAAGATTTGTTATTTTGTCCTCTCCATTTTCTCACATCCAAGACGTTAACAAAATCACCTGATTTATACCCAGTCCGTGTTGCAGTAATCTTATATCGAATTAATTCAAAAATTTGTTGTTTTTTTCATGCCGAATACTAAGAGTTTTCCATTTTTCATTTTCACTTATCTTGTAACGAAGACTAATTGTAGTGAAACATTGGATTATCTTCTAAAATTCAATCAACTGGAAATGAATTCTGAAAAATATTTGCAACAGTTATGTACAAACGTTGCAGTTGAAGCTCAAATTATTGCCAGTAAAAATTTTCCAACTGATTTTAGGGATCTGTTCATGGAACAAGGTTTGTTTTCATGTTATTGTGTATTGATGACTAGTTTAAGTTACAGTAGATAGAAAATTACCATTTAAATCGAGCAGTAGTGTTGCATAATTTTATAGTTTCATAAGTGAATATGAAAATAGTGTCAAGTGATTAAAAAGGGAATGTTGTAATTATAATTAAATAGGTAATTACTTGTAAAAATTAAAAACATGTAACTTAATGGTTGCCAGACCACATAATATTTAGTAATATTGTAGGCAAAATATTTTAGCAAAGTCAATTTTACGATTTTTGTGTGAAAGTCAAAAGACGAATATCGAAATTGTGTAGAAATTCAAAAGGTGAAAGAAATTAGATTGTTGAATTGAATGAAGTGAAACAAAGTTGAGTTATGAACTACTCTTATTTTGATGGCCAAAATAGAGAGAGGGGTTATACAAACTACTTTCAAGTGGGATGATTAGGTCTGTGAATATGAGTTCCAATATCTTCAAAAGTATGTAGATGATTCACACGTAAACCAAGCGGTAAATTTGATGGAATAACATGTGATAACATTAAAAGTTCAATTAATACTTTGTTTTACTAATTGAGCGATAATAAAATTTCAGATAAACTTTAACTGTCATTTACTCAACCAAGATGGATGATTTAATGCTACACGACGATGGATTTATTAAATTGTACGCCCTGTGTAGACGGGCTTAATAATAAGTATCATTACCAAGGTTTGATTTGATAATTTCGAATAAATTGGGCATTGGACAGATTGTTATAAATAAGTAATATATTAGTAATATCCTAATGAGAAGAAAGATCGGGTTTTGTGACGTTTCGTGACTAGATGTAAGCCACTTCTTCAGAGAATAATTAACCAAACTAAAATTAATCCAAGTTTAAATAGTAATAATAATTGTAGAACAGATGCTTAGACACTTTCATTCGTATCCATGTGCTTATATTTGATACATTCATCTACATGGAATTATCGAACTTCATAAAAATGGTGAGATGTAAACCACAACTATTGATATGGTTGTGATCACTAAAGATACAAGCTCTGTCGGACAGTATGAGTTTATGAAATCGGTGTTAAATGAAATACAGCACAGTTAAAAAACTTTGAGCACTAATTTAGCTTGTAACAGCCCGAAATTTGACTTCGATTTAGATGAATAAATGAATATGTCGTGAACATAAATCTCCCGTTTAATTCTGTGTATAACACCTAGGCTGACTCTGTTTGAGCAACGGCTGCAATACGAACTGTTGTATCCGTGCATCTCATTACTTATACTTGATAAAAAGGAACCACTGCAATTCGCATGACGCTAAGCCTGGTTCGAGTAAAAGTTTACTAATCCCAGGACAAGACGGCGACCTTAGTCGAAAATACACTCATTATGCACCCGTTTTGATTATAAATTAGAACGAAATCATTGAGCATAGTCCATGTTAATTTAATACAAAGAATATTGTGTTTTCAATAAACATCACAATCAAATAAATTAATGTTATACATAATAAAATATAACTCTGCAAATAAAACAAATATTACACTAAGTAATCTCACATTAAATTAAAAACGGAAGTCGAAATCTGATTTTTTCTTTTTTTTTATTCCATCATATCAAGAAGCCCAATACGGATTGATTTGGATTTATTTCATACTCAGATAAACATTAAGTTGAAAAGGGGGAAAACAAAATGAAGCGAAGATGGTAGGCATGCCAACTGCGTAAGTAATAGGTGACTCAGTCTTTATAAACATAAAAGAAATACAGGTAAGCATGCGAACATCCGCGCTAGCATATATACATATGATCAGAGCACGTTCAAGATTACACTTGAGTAATTCGCCAAGTCAGACATGCTGGATATTTTATCCATAGTAAGACTAGAAAAAAGGTTAGAACAAATCATGGAGGCGCGTGATTACAGATTTGCTATAAGCTATTTATCAAGTCTGTAACTACAATAATTTCAATATAAATCTATGACTTTTAGGTGCAGCGTATGTTTTATCATTCGTATCTTTAGTTTATTGAAATCCCAGATTTTGTAATAGTTAAGATGAATGATTGTCGAATTTACTCACAAGATACAAGGTACACGTAACAAAGGATAATTTATTATCTTTCATATAGAGTGATTTATATCAAAGTAGTTTGTTTATAAGTAGATTCAATGTTATATCAATCAGATACGAAAATATTGAACTCTCCTTTAAACAGATAAATCGATTTCTGGTGAATAGGATTAACTGAAAGTTTTCACTTTCTTTGTTATTTATTTTCAGTTGGATTTTGTGGTTTAGCAGGATTTTGGCAAATCTGTAAAATTGATTGGTTAATGAAAATTATTTCATGGCAAAATATCATGGGTTGTTACCATAAATTTGATACAGAAGAAATGAATCCAGAAAATTTTGATCCCAATGTATATGGACATTATAAGCGTAGAAGACGTTCAGAACAACTTTTATCCGATGGTCAACAAGCGTGTCTATCACATAGGACAAGTGTAGCAATGACAGCACTGAGTGGATATTTAAGATATTTAATTGAATTTCATTAGATGATAAAATCTATTTTTTGTGTTCAGAAACCATTAAACCAATTCAGAAAAGAATACTAGTTATTGTTTTCTAAATGTAAATTAACTTTGAAAATTGTAATTTAGTAAGATGAACAACTAACTTTGAGTTACCGATATAACTTTTATGATCAAGTATTGTTCGAAACCAAGAAAAATCGAACATCTAGAACTTTCGCAGTGCCCATAAACAATCAAGTTAGGGATAGAATTCGGAGCCCTCAGTTGATTTACATCTCTAACCTCAGTCAGTTTTTGTTATCAGAGACTGCTAAAGAGAACAATACTAAGAATAAACAGCTGTCAGGTGTCCCCTAATTTTCAGTGCTTATTTAGTTGAAGCCAGTTCGTGATCCAAAATACAAATTTGTCAATTTTCTAAAATCTTCCATATTAATAATAATATTCACACATAATTAATTTCAAGAAGTTCATCTCTAGGCTATACTGCTATAAATCGGTAGTGTGTTGTAATTAACCACATACAGTAACTGAATTAGTGTTCTTATTGAAATTAGTTGATCTCAAGTCAGTTGTGCTCAATATACTGAGAAAATGTATCATTAGAAAATTTTGGTAGATAGAATAGAATCATTTGGTCATAAAACAAATTCTTTATAGTAGTTATTATTGATAACTAAACGGAATATTATGTGGACTAAGAAATATGAATATGAAATTAAGAACATTTTAGAGAGAGGAGTAACGTAAAGGTACAAATAAAAATGGTAGGAGTGGAGGTAAGTTTATAATATTTCGCTAACAAGGACAATTCAATCATGAATGTTACAACACTTGTGGACCAGAGTAAACACAGGGGTTGAATATCTCTCTTTTGAAAATGTGTACATAAATTTGACTTTCTGAACTTAATCCCTATATTTTCTTCTGTATAAAAGGGGCATAGTCTTGAGTCTTTTGGCAAATAATCCTTGACTTAGTATATAATTGAAAACAACCTCCTTTTTTCTGATATGACGTTTACTATTTACCAAATGAGAAAGTTTGTTATTATTTACAGATTCTATGAACCATTTTTCCTAATCAACCCAGTACATGTTCTTCAGGACTTAGGAAGAAGACCATCTGTTCACGTGACCAGCTTCACAGAAACAATTAAATACATAGGCGCACATTTGTGAGATATTCATTGGTAATTTATTCCTACATGATTAAATCCTTAAAGACTTGGTTTAGAAGTTGACGGGTAATTTAACGACACTGACTTCATTTCGATAGATCTACTAGATCGGTGCATTAAAATATTACTAGCTATGTCTTTTTGAAACTTAAGTATCGGATGTAAGGTTTTGTTACACATTACATCGTCTCGAACATTGCATCCGATACGTACTTCTAATTTAAATATGATCGGATGCTCATTTTATAGTAACATTATCTTTAATTCCCCTACATTTTAGTCTACATTGTCTTCATTAACATATAATTCGAATTATCTGACTGTCATCCGTTTTCTAAACCTTTTTTATCCTTCTGTTCTTACATTATGTTATAGAGGACAAACAAAATAATAGATTTCTAGGTATGTGTATATAGCGACTCACGTGCAAATGGGTTTATTCTCATTTAACTCAGTTAAGCCCTTTTGCTAACTTATTTAGCGGACAAAGCCATCCGCACTATAACAATTTATTGTACCCTTATTATTATTTTGTGCTTGTATGAAATACGCATGCTTGAATATTGCTTACGGCCTACGCATTTATTCACTCTGCTAGTCTCACTACTAACCGCTTATTTGATTCGATTACTCATTAATTTCACATGCTATATATATGTCCACGTTATTCATATGGCTGACTCTGCTTTCTCGCTCACTTGATTGTACTCGATTACTTACATTCGCTCAGTCGCTCGCTTGCCTGTTTGCCGTTCGACACAACTCTTAATGCTCGTTTAATGCATCTGTAATTTTGGACATCTGTGTGTGTGGTCTCGAAATAAACGTAATCAACGCTTCGTATTCGCCTTCTGAATAATATACCGTTGGGGTTAAATAGGACGGTTATCAAGACGAATTGTATACGAAGTTTAAGGGATATATCGAATACCGACCACCACATAATTGGCGATCCCGACGAGCGAACACGAAACAATCTTGAACGGCATAATCCAATTCCTAAAATCCAACGTACTTGATTACAATTGTAACTATCATTTGGATTATAATTATAACTGTGGATTTATTATCTCATTATTTTAATTATACGTACATTATCTCACAAACATTATAGAACATAACGATAATATTCATAATAAACAACGATATTTTTACAAACAATTGATATTTTGGTGCAATTTAGTAAGTCCGTTCTTTGTTATAAATTGTACCATTTGTTTTTATCATTGTTTTTATCGACTCACTTTTCTCTGTGACATTCGCATTATATTCGTGTACTTTTTGATCTTTATAAATATGTCTTTAAGTAACGATACAATAGAACTTTCCCAAACGCCGTCCGTGAGGTCCATTAATGTAACTATCCCTCCTTTTAAGGTCACAGATCCTCAACTTTGGTTTATCAGACTTGAACAATACTTTGTAGCTAATCGTGTTCATACACAGCGAGATAAATTTGGCCACGCGAGCTCGCTACTTCCAGATGAAGTAACAGATAATGTACGGGAGATTTTAATCAAGCCAGATATAGAAAAGCCATACGACGCATTAAAACAGGCAGTGATTAAAGCCGTTTCATTAAGCGACCGGCAAGCCATCGAACAACTTCTCAGTCATGTGCAGATAGGAGACAGGACTCCATCTCAACTAAAAAACTACATGAGAAGCATAATCGATGACAGAAAAGTAGATAAAAACATATTTTATCAGTTGTGGTTACGACGACTTCCAGCGAACGTGCAGCAGATCCTTGCGGTTGAGGACAGCGATGTCGATATAGACAACATCGCTAAAATAGCCGATAGGATTTATGAGAGAATGAAACAAACGAGTCCGCAAAGGCATAGTACCACAATAGACGGACGAATCGATGCATTACAAAAGGAGATTAATGTTTTATGCCACAAGCTGACGAAACTAAATCAGAGCGATACGCAAAGGGGATGGTCACGAAGTAGATCGAGGGAAAGAAGTCGATCACGTTCTAGGAGACGCTCAGCTCCTACAATATGTTGGTACCATCAAACTTTCGGCGATAAAGCTCGAAACTGTAGATCACCATGTAAATTCAAACGAACACACCGATTGTCGATAACCGCCGCAACAACTACAACAGCTCCTAGAAACAGTCGTTTATTTTACGTTCAGGATAGAGTAACAGGCGCTCAATTCTTAGTGGATACGGGAGCAGAAGTAAGCGTCGTGCCTCCAGTAAGTAACGAAACACGAAATATCGATACAGCGCTAACGCTTAAGGCAGCAAATAAATCCGATATAAAAACATATGGCAAGCGAAAAGTAACCTTGAATTTCGGTCGTACTACCTCATTCCGCTGGGAATTCATTATCGCAGATGTATCCGTACCTATAATTGGTATTGATTTCTTAAAGAATTTTGACTTACTAGTGGATACCCGACGAAACCGGCTCGTGAACGGCGACCATTCAGTAGTGATAAGAGGAGTGACGACTGATCACGCATCCATGAATTTAGTAGTGTCAAAAGACAAAAACGAGCCATATAGATCGCTTCTAAACGAATATGTCGATCTGACGAAGGTATCATGCGATAACAGAGATCTTAAACATACGGTACAGCATCATATTATAACGAAAGGTCCACCGACTAAATCACGACCACGAAGGCTAGACCCGAAAAGGTTGAATGTCGCGAAACGAGAGTTCGAAAAGTTGACGAAGCTTGGTATCATAAGACCTTCTAATAGTCCCTGGGCGTCCTCATTCCATATGGTTTCGAAGAAGAATGGGGAAATCAGGCCATGTGGAGACTATAGAGCCCTTAACAAGCAAACGATAGCGGACAGATATCCGATACCACATATCCACGACATTACTACCAATATGGAAGGTGCCACGATATTTTCGAAAATCGATCTCGTTCGAGCTTATTACCATATTCCTGTAGCGGCAGAAGATATATCTAAAACGGCTATAACTACTCCATTTGGGTTATTCGAGTTTTTGCGAATGCCCTTCGGATTAACTAATGCAGCCCAAACCTTCCAAAGATTCATCGATCAGGTTGTCAGGGGTTTGACAGGAGTTCACGCATATATCGATGATATACTAGTAGCTAGCTCTACCAGGGAAGAACATCTACAACATCTACGACAGTTGTTTACGAAACTTCAAGAACATGGCGTCACTATTAACGTAGAAAAGTGTGAATTTGGAAAGGAATCATTGCAATTCCTAGGTCATATGACAAATTCACATGGTATCATGCCAGTTCCGACAGAAGTTGCTGCTATTCGTAATTATCCGTTGCCCGATTCACAAAGAAAATTACGAAGATTCTTGGGGCTAATAAACTATTATAGACGATTTATCCCAAACTGCGCAGCAATATTACAGCCATTGACTGACGCCTTGCGAGGACATACTCGAACATTCCGTCTTTCAGCGGATGCTATACAGGCTTTTGAGAACGCTAAGCGAGCGCTAAACGAGAAGATGATGTTGGTACGACGAAAGAACGAAGCACCATTAGCAGTAATGACAGACGCATCGAACTTAGCAGTAGGAGCCGTTTTGCAGCAGTTAGTAAACGGTGTATGGGAGCCACTTTCATTTTTCTCGAAAAGATTAAATCCTACCCAAACGAGATATAGTACGTTTGGACGAGAATTATTAGCAATCTACTTAGCAATAAAACACTTCCGTCATATGGTCGAAGGCATAAGTTTTACCGTCTATACAGACCACAAACCGCTAACGAAAGCATTAAGCGCAAAGCAAGACAATTATTCCCCGAGAGAGATCCGACAGCTAGAGTTCATTTCACAGTTCACGTCCGACATACAGTACGTTAAAGGACAAG